CAAGACATTTGGACGTGAAAATAACCGAATCTTATGACAATTGAATGTCAAGATAATGTCTAAATGACGACACAATTGTAACATATTGAAACAATGACAAAATAATATTGTAGCAATTACACAATAATGAAATAATAAAGTTTAAATAATGAAACAATATCAATACGATGCTGCAGAATAACACAATAATGGAATAAGCGCAAAATAATGTTTAAAGGGCGACGGTCGTCGTGTCGCGTCCTATTCGATATGGGACTCATAGCGACCTATACAACGCGTGTAAAATACATTGTTTATTTACATAAAATTCGAACACGCGCTGCGCGACGACCACCGCGCTTTAAATAAAGACCAAATAACTGAATAATTACCAAATAATAACCAAACAAGTTTCCAAATAAAGACCAAACAACTGAACAATGTTCAAATAATGACACCAAGCTAATTTGGTGGTATTCACTCACTCAATTCACTCAACCGTAAAAATTACAATGTTTTCAGTTGTGATTATTTGCATTTACGCCGATCAACGAAACAGATGACAGGCCCAGCGAGTGACAGGGACGTACGCATTGACGATTTCACGTGTTTGAGTCGAAAGCTATGTCGCAGTTAACGCACACGCTTGCGCAATATGTTACCAGTTTCGGCAATAGTAATTCGTATTAGTACTTGTATCAGGTTTCCATGTTTTGATCAGTTTATCACACACCCGTAATCACTATAAACAGTTCTCACAGTCGTGGATCTCGATTCAGTTAGATATTTAAGCCAGTTTATTTAGTTTCGGGGCGAGATCACAAGTCGTCTAGTGCCAGATGTAAGGTCCCGATTGATAGATTCAAACTAACCATGCTAACCTACATACTATAGCATAGTCTACTTTAATCTGTTGTAATGAATTGATGCATACGTATTTAATGGTGGCTACAATGTATTTACAAATTAGATTATATAAGATTGTTAATGCTATATTCTGGAACTCCGGGTAATTTGTTCAGTCTGAAGGTTGTTTTCCCTTCAAGATCTCTCTGACTCTTCACAAAATCGGACCAGTTGGATACGCCTGCAGCTAAGAAGACTTCTGACCCTGCAGTTAAAAACGATACATTAATTCGTAGAGTTTCGAGCGACATAATTCCCGCGCGTGCGCAGATGATGACCTTCCCGCTTTAAATGATGATCTTAACATAATGATTTCTGTGGCTGTTAGCAACATACACCAAAGTACTCTCATATTTGAGAAAATACTGAATATTTTCCTTATCTATCAAGTTTTGGTTCACACGGAGTAATAAAAGATTTACCCTAAAATACTAACGTTGAATACAAAATACATTAATAATGGTAATATGCTTGATGTGTCAATTAAAATATTATATGGTTAAATCATAGACAAATTAATGCCCAAGTAAGGCTTTCTGACATTGTATATGCGTTCGATATTATGGAAAAAACTTAACTATCAAATTCGTTTCGAATCGTTTTGCAAAACAAGTCAAGAATATATAAAAACAAGTAACATACTGTAACATATTTCTTGCTCAACCAATGACGAAAAATAAAAGTCGTTCAGTATTTCGTTATCATCGTTATCAACAATATCTTTCCACGTGTAAATATGTCGTCGTGATATTACGCCTGATAAATGGTCGATTATTTCCTGGAAAAAAATATATTAATTAACGTGTCATGTACCAGCTTGTAAATCAAATGGTTATACAGATGTTATGATACAATACATTGGGATGCGTATGACCGTAGGTTAAGAAGCTTTTGAAATAAATTTAAGCTATGACGTAATTGTAACTAAAAGGTCAATGAATTGGCACGAAATGACGCATTACAAGGTATAGACCACTTTTGACACTTTGTTAAATTTGTACTACTGCTTTCTCGAGCATTTCAAAATACATAATACTACTTACACCATGCACACAAATTAGTAGAGCGATGATCATACTCGTTGTAGCCAAGGCTAAAGTGTTATGTCGTTGGTTATAAGTAAGGAGTAAATGTGACCTTGACAGTAAAAACCTGACGTATCATTCCATTCGAACACAGCAATTTACACAACATTTGGAATAATTTTTCAGTAACCTCTTTGTACATAATTTAACTAATTCTATGCCATTTGAATGTGTATTATGTATCGCAACGTGATATACATATACTCAAACATCTATATTCCAGAACTATATCTGCATAAACAATTATATAAGGAAAAACAAAGTAGAATCGTTCCCATAGATGACATTTGTACTGCTAAACTGAGATAATCACATTCTTTCAGAACAGCAAACATGCTATCATAATGATATCTTACCTCTGACCATTCTGGGTAGGAAACGTACAAGCATGTAAGTTTCTTTTCCTTTATTATATCAGCTACTGCTTTAGTCACATTGTCTATGATAGTCGATAACTCTAACTTTACTCTAGCACATTGAACAT